TTTTTTAAGATGGAGTCTCACTCTGTCACCCAGGCTGGAGTGTAGTGGCACAATCTTGGCTCATTGCACCTCTGCCTCTGGGTTCAAGCAATTCTTCTGCCTCAGCCTCACAAATAGCTGGGATTACAGGCAAATGTGCCACCACACCCAGCTAATTTTCGTATTTTTAGTAGAGACGGGGTTCACCCTGTTGGCCAAGATGGTCTCAAACTCCTGACCCCAAGTGATCTGCCTGCCTCAGCCTCCCAAAATGCTATGATTACAGGTGTGAGCCACCACGCCCGGCCTCAATCATAATCTTTTATTTTACTTTGTTTGAGACACAGTTTCACTCTGCAGCCCAGGCCGAGTGCAGTGGCGTGATCTCGGCTCGCTGCAACCTCCGCCTCCCAGGCTTAAGTGATTATCCTGCCTCAGCCTCCGAGTTTCTGAGATTACAGGCACCTGCCACTATGCCTGGCTAAATTTTGTATTTTTAGTAGAGACAGGCTTTCACCATGTTAGTCAGGCCAGTCTCAAACTCCTGACCACAGGTGATCCTCCCGCCTCGGCTTCCCAAAGTGCTGGGATTACAAGCATGAGCCACTGCACTCGGCTAATGATAATCCTTCAAATGATCCTCCCTGTTGATGGGAATCTTGTTTAGCTGGTGTAAACAGTGCCATACTGAGCATCCTTATATATTTATTTTGCCATACTTCTGCAAGTCCAGATTCCTAGGACTGGGTCAAAGGGAAATAACATTTTAAATTTTGATGGCTGAATCTTCCTCCAGATAGGTCACCCTAGTTTATAGGCCCACCGAAAATGTGTAGAGTACCTGTCTGCGCATGGCTATAGAGAAAGCAGGGTACTGTGCTCCTCCTGCCCGTTCCGGGAACCCCTGAATATCTGCAGTGGTGACACTGAGCGCTTAGAAGGAAGTGGGCCCAGCTCCTCTGCTGGGCGATAGTGGCTTGCTGCCTCCATGGCCTTGGCCGCCTCCATTGCAAGTCTCCCTGGTGGCAATGAAGTGAGCGCCAGCAGCTTGTCTTTTAGGTGTGCATGGGATTTCCCTTATCCTTTCAGCAAGGTTTTCCTGTTTGTCCGTGGAATGAGAGTGAACGACCATGTCTTCTGTCTGACTCTTCCAGGTGAAGAAGGCATATAGGCAGAAGGCCCTCTCCTGCCACCCAGACAAAAATCCAGATAATCCCAGAGCAGGTGAGACTCTTCTAAGGGTGTGGGGAGAGGCCCACTCACCCGCACGTTGTGTTTTCTGCAAGAGCTCTGCATGTGAGTGCGTTGCGGGGTAGGCACACACAACCTGGCTGCAGACAGTGGAACCCATGGCTTCCCTTCATGTCAGGGGTGTCTGGTCAGTTGCTAATGTGCTCACCCCTCCTTGTTGGTCTGTCCTCTGCTGATCTCAACTTTTCTGCCATCCTGTGGCTTCTTCGAAGTGTTTTTTTTTTTTTCTTTTTTGAGGGAGCACCCCATCACAAAGTGTTAACTTATTTTTCTTCTCTCTCTCTTTTTGATCCTTATGTTTAGCTGAACTCTTCCACCAGCTTTCTCAGGCCTTGGAGGTGCTGACCGATGCTGCAGCCAGGGTAAGCACAGCCTCCCTCATCTGAATCATTCCCCATGCTTAGAGACCACTGCTGCCCCTCAGCCTCGGTCCTCTGCCCTTTGCCATCTGGCACAGTCCTGGCTTTCTAAGCCCAGGAGACCCAGTCACCAGGCTGCCACTCTGATGGTTCTTGGGCTAGGGGCCAAGGAGATTGCTGGGCCTCTTGTCTTTATTCTCTGGCTGACCCTCTGCCCTGTGCCCTTTTGTCCTGCCAGGCTGCCTATGACAAGGTAAGGAAAGCCAAGAAGCAGGCAGCAGAGAGGACCCAGAGGCTTGATGAGAAAAGGAAGAAAGTGAAGCTCGGTAGGTGACACGTAGTGCTGGGTGGCCTGTGGTTTCCTGTGGGCATTTTCACTCATCTCCCTCACCTGGAGCTTTATTCCCAGCAGCTCACCTCAAAGCCTTCTGGCTCAGGATCTGGGCAAAATGCTGTTCTTAGAGGATGGTTCCTAAAGACACTCTTAGGAATAATAACAATAATAAGGTTTAATATTAGCTAAGCATTATGACAAATGCTTTATCAATCCTTTGATTATCATAACTGTACAAGGAAGTGTGGGTACTAAACCTTTTTTAAAAACATTTTTTTTTGAGAGAGGGTCTCACCTTGTTGCCTAGGCTGGAATGTGGTGTGATCTTGGCTTACTGCAACCTCCACCCGCTGGATTCAAGCAATTCTTGTGCCTCAGCCTCCCAAGTAGTGGGACTACAGGCATGTACCACCATGCCCAGCTAATTTTGTTCAGCTTTTATAGAGATGGAGTTTCACCATGTTGGCCAGGCTGGTCTTAAACTCCTGGCCTCAAACTATCCACCTCAGCCTCCCAAAGTGCTGGTATTACAGGCGTGAGCCACCGCACCTGGCCTCTGAAGCCATTTTTTATAGGCAAAGCAGCTAAGGCACCAAAAGTTTAAGAGCTTGCTGGAGCTGGAATTTAAACTGACCCAGTGTGAGTAAAATTGGTACAACCATGTCCGGCCGAATCTTTTTTTTTTTTTAAGAGAGATGAGGTTTTGTACTGTATGTACCAGCTGAAGGTGGTGCCGTCCCAGCTCACTGCAGCCTCAGACTCCTGAGCTCAAGCAGTCCTCCGGCCTCAGCCTCCTGAGTAGCTGGGACTACAGGTACGAGCCACTGTGCCTGGCTGGGTCTTTTCATTTGTACTAATCCCAATTCCTACCCAGAGTTTCACTTTGAGAAGCTCCCTCAGAAGGATTCAAAGAGATCTAGGCTTTCTCTTCTCTATTAGCTTTATTGAGGTATTCTTTGTATATCATAACATCAACCCATTTCGACTCTACACTTCAATCATTTTTAGTAAATTTACCAAATGATGCAACTCTGACTGTAAATCAAATTTAGAATATTTTCATCAACCCAAGAAGATTGGTCCAAGCATTTTTTTTCTCACACATACACACAAAAAATCACTGGTTATAGCAGCATGGTGTAAGCACTCTTTTTTTTTTTTTTTGAGATGGAGTTTTGCTCTTGTTGCCCAGGCTAGAGTGCAGTGGTGTGATCTCAGCTCACTTCAACCTCTGCCTCCTGGGTTCAAGCGATTCTTCTACCTCAGTCTTCCAAGTAGCTGGGACTATAGGTGCACGCCACCATGCTGGCTAATTTTTGTATTTTTAGTAGAGATGAGGTTTCACCATGTTGTCCAGACTGGTCTCAAACTCCTGATCTCAAGGGATCCACTCCCCTCGGCTTCCCAAAGTGCTGGGATTACAGGCGTCAGCCACCGCGCCTGGCCTAGTCCAAGCATTCTTTACTCAATTTTTCACCCTTTCCCCTTGTTCTTCAACATCCGTATATTTTCATGTGTGCCTATAACATCCCAATATCCATTTCTCTATTAAAAGAAAGTGCTGGGAGACTCCATCTCAAAAAAAAAAAAAAAAAAAGAGAGAAAAGGAGATTCTAAGTAGGAGAGGTACGCAAACTTCCCTGGCCTAAGTGAAGGGTTTCTCACAGCAGCTGGCCTGGCGCATGGCTGCAAGCAGGTTTCCCTTGCAATGGAACGCTGCCATACAATCTGAGATGTAGGGTGATGCCCTAACCCTCCGCTCATCCCGTGGAGCCTCTGTAGCCAGGTCCACAGTGAGGCTTGGTAAATGTGAGTTGAGGTGAGAGGTAAAGGAGACAGCGAGAACATGAGCTCATTGTATGAAAAGAATCAAAGCCAAAGCAAGGCCAGAGGTCAAGCTGTGGTGCCAAAACCACAGGAATCGAGCCCAGCAGCTCCGCCCATTGGCACCCTTGACACATGGCCCTGGGCTGCTGACATAAGCACCACCCACACCCTGTTCACTAGAGAGAACCAGCTTGGTCAGTGTGAACCTTTTTAACTCTTCCAGACCCCGGCCACTCTACTGGAGCCCATACTTCTGTGCTATGATTTTTCTCAATGGAAATTAACTTGGGGGAGTGGCCATGGAGGGAGGGGGCAGAATTGCTGTATGGTCTCCTCCTGATTGAGACTTTGGGGAGACAGCTAGAGCTGGGGTGGGCCAAGGCCACATGGAAACTTAAGAGATCAGCAATTTGGTCATTCAACCCTTGTGCCTAGATCTGGAGGCCCGGGAACGGCAGGCCCAGGCCCACGAGAGTGAGGAGGAGGAGGAGAGCCGGAGCACCAGGACACTAGAGCAAGAGGTGAGCCCCCAGGCACACTGGCTAGAGGGCCACCTGCAGGAGGAGGAGCAGGAGGGGGAGGATGGACCTGGGTGGTCGCCATGGCTGGGGCGGGTGTGTTCTTCTTCCCCCTTCTGTGGGAGCTGGGTGATTTGTCCCACCTACAGGTTGCTGAGCCCTAGCTTGCAGGTGGAAGTTCCCAGGGACTTTTTACAAGGTGAGCCAGCCTGGAATTGGACTTGCACAGAATTGTCACCCCCACCCCCTGCTCTGCAGATCGAACGCTTGAGAGAAGAGGGTTCCCGGCAGCTGGAGGAACAGCAGAGGCTGATCCGGGAGCAAATACGCCAGGAGCATGACCAGAGGTTGAGAGGTGCAGGTCCATCACCCCACCTGTCTCCCCTCCAAGGCAGCTCCAGATTGCTTAGAGCAGCCATGCTGGCTGCTCGGTGGAGCTGCCGTGGAGGCTTCCACCTGCTGGAACCCTGGCATCACCCCATGGCACCCTACTCTGACACCTGCCACTTATCCTTTCTTCCTTCCAGTTCTCTGGGGCCTGTTTGTTTTTCACTCTGCCTGAGATCTCCTGGCCACATCTGTCTTAGTCCCAAGCAGAGGTGGCTCTGTTTTGGGCCAGATCACCACGGGGAGGGGCCCTGGGACACTTCGTTTCCGTAGACACTCATGGTTTGTCTCTCTGCCTGCTGCCCCCAGAAGGTGTTCCTCGCTCTCCATTCAAAGAGTGCTAACAGGTGGCCTTCGGGAGGCAGCTGGGTAGACAACCCCTGGGGTGGCAGGTTCTCTGGAGTTGGGCATCTACTTTCCCCGACCAGGCCCTCACCAGAGCTGGGCAGATGTTGCCCTTGGTCAGGAGTGACCCTTTGCAGACTCTCGTGGCTCTGGGCTGCATCTCCTTTGGGAGAATCTCTGACTCCCTCATATTGTATTTTTCTTCTTTTCCCAATATTTCTAGGAAAGACAGAAAATACTGAAGGCCAAGGAACCCCCAAACTAAAGGTGAGCCTGGACAGGATCTGGGGGCCACCTCACACTCACACTGCCTCCTCTCAGCAGGAATAGATGCTTCCTCTGGCTCGAGGGTTTCTGGTGGGGCCGCTGGATCTGCATGAAGGTGGCACCATTACACCTCCCTTCATACTCCAGCCACCTGGAGACCAGAGCTTGCCATGAAAGGCTGCTCTTAGCCCTGATCACAGGGCAGAGCATTGCCCAGAAGCCCTCTCAGGAGAAGGTCTTCCTGGGCAGAAAGCGTTCCTGGGACAAGCAAGCCATCCTGCCCACAAGTTCCCAAGGGGAAAAAGGTTTCTAGTGGCGCTCCCAAGATTACAGGAGCCTTGGAGACTTGGAGGGTGGAAGGATGTCTGCTCAGACTCTCAGGCTCAGTCCTGGGGTCAGGTACTGTTCAGCCAAGGGTCACTGTTTCATGAGGCTGTCTTTTCAGCTAAAATGGAAGTGCAAGAAGGAGGATGAATCAAAAGGTGGCTACTCCAAAGACGTCCTTCTACGGCTTTTGCAAAAGGTCTGCCCGGCTGATGTCCACGCTTTCCTTTCATCTCAGTCCACATCTCAGCCTACACCCTACGTCTCTACTCTCAATGCCTGAACTTCCCTTAATATATCTACCTGCTTTTTTTTTTTTTTTTCTGTTTCATAGACCATGGGACGACCCAGGCCACGGCCCTTCTCTCACTTGTGTGGCCATATGCCCCCTTCCAGCCCACTGTCCTTTGCTACCTCGGTCTAGCCCTTACCCTTAGTAGCAAAGAGCTTGGCTGAATGGGTTGGGAGGCAGGAGGTGGGTATCTGGCATGAGAACCCTGTCCTCTTTACCACCTTCAACCAGCAAGGACTCTGTGCAATAAAATATGCACGTCTAAGTCACCAAGGCTTTGACCATCTCTCCTTTGCTGGTCTGTGTTCTGTCTTTCCTATCTCTGATCTCACTTCACTGAGATAAGTAGGTGGGGTAAGAAGTTATCTCCCAGCTGAAAATGCCCCACAGACCTCAAGGTAGCCCAGGCTTGTTTCTGGCATGACCTGGGCCATCCTGAAGCCAAGTCGTGCTTACTAGGACCTATTCGTCTCCACAGTATGGTGAGGTTCTCAACCTGGTACTTTCTAGTAAGAAGGCAGGCACTGCTGTCGTGGAGTTTGCGACCATCAGGGCTGCGGTGAGTGCTGCATGAGGCTTGGGGGCCCCTTGTGGCCCTGTCATTCTAGGGCAAGGATCCAATTCTATGGGCCCTCTGAGTTAGGTGCTCCACACTCCCGGGGAATCTCCGGGCCAGCTCAGAGCCAAGGCTCCTCCCAGGGGCCCTGGACTCCTAGAAATAGAGGACCATGTATGAAGGGATGGATGGGGGATGCTCTGGGGAGGAAGGAGAGCACAGTCTGACTCTGCTCCCTGCTGGCGGTTTCACATCCTCCACCTGCACCCCTCGGGGTGGTCCGCCCCAGCACTGCCTTCCCACCCTCTGTGCTCCTCACCTCCCCACATCAGAAAGTGCTCCCCACCCCTCTCCTGCAGGAAGGGCCAAAGTGTTAACGCCTGTCGCTTGACGGCTGCTGGGGTTGGCATCTCTGCCTAGAGGACTAGAACGCTGGTTCTGTTCTCACTGTGGGGTAGAGAGAGCCTCTTTATAGCCGACTCAATGGATGGGACAGGACTAGGTGCTGTGTTTGGCAGGAGCTGGCTGTCCAGAATGAAATTGGCCTGATGGACAACCCTCTGAAGATTTCCTGGTTAGAGGGACAGCCCCAGGACACCATGGGCCATAGCCACCCAGGACTGTCAAAGGTAAGGAGCCAGGCCTCCCCCAGCTGGGTGCTCAGGACTCAGGGCTCTTCCTACCTGGACTCCTCTCAATGCTCTTTCCTTCCAAATCCAGGTCTTGGGGCCTAGAGTGAGGTTGGCAGTTCCACCAACCCAGGCAGGAGGAGCTGTGATTTCACATTGATCCCTTTGCCTGTCTGAGGGCCAGAGAGGCACCATCAACACTATTCTTAGACCCTGCTTTCTCTCTCGCTGGGACTCTCCTTTTCATGAAAGGGATCTTCTTGGTTCTCAGGTTGCTTGGTTGTGCAGTGTGAAGTATTTGGAGCTTAGACGACCCAGAGCTGCAGAGTAGGGGCAGGTGACTAGGGCAGCCGCTTCCTTCCCAGTACTTTAGTTTTCCACATGTGTCTCCAGCTGCCCCAGCCAGGAACCATCAAGAGGCGATATCTCCTTTTAGAAGTAACCCTGGCAGGCCAGGCACGGTGACTCACACCTGTAATCCCAGCACTTTTGGAGGCCAAGGCAGGCGGATCACCTAAGGTCAGGAGTTCGAGACCAGCCTGACCAACATGGTGAAATTCCATCTGTATAAAAACACAAAAATTAGCCGGGCATGGTGGTGTGTGTCTATAATCTTAACTACTCTGCAGACTGAGGTGGGAGAGTTGCTTGAACCCGGGAGACGGAGGTTACAGTGAGCCAAGATTGAGCCACTGCACTCCAGCCTAGGTGACAGAGCGAGACACCGTCTCAAAAAAAAAAAAAAGTCATCCTGGCTACCCTGCTGACACAGGGTGCTGCCTGCTTAGGGTCGGGGTGCCTGCCTGTGGTGAAGCGTAG